ATATATATATATATATAGATCTGCTAGTTATATTCTTCTCCATGTAAAATATAAATTTCAATATATTATTTACCTGTGGAAAACAATTAGTCAAATGTAACAACATGGTTTGAAGGGTCTTGCGCTTGACTATACTTCAAAGCTTAAACTCATGATTCAAACAAAATTGCAACATTCAGACATGATTTGGAATAGTTTTGCATTAGAACTCCATTAAAATTATCATACTATAGACTATCATTAAAATTTTTTCATATTTGCATTTATAAAGTTTTGGTGTGATAAATCTATGCATGAAAATGTGTATTTCATTTCAAAAAATGGGGGATAATGGTATTTTTAATGTAATATTAAATTTTTGAGTGATACATGAAATTATTAAAATTTAGGGGTTAGATATGTAAATACATACAAAATATGTGATATGTATATAAATGTCCCTTTTATTTATAATTTTGTTAGGCAATCAATCAGGGATGAAAATGTTAGCAATGGTTGTGAAAATAAGGTGTGAAAATTGAGAAACGAGCATATATTTATAAGTAAAATAAATAATATTAACATTAAATAAATATTCAAAGAAGTTATACATAATTAAAATTTAATTAAATAGCATACATACTATTATCAAGCTTAATTTTAAAACTTTAATAAGTAATTTATTGAATAATAAATAAATAAATAAAATTATCTTTAAATTTTATTCGTTTATATTTTGACCTTTTAGAAAGTATTCAAACATGTATGATTACTAAGCTGAATAAATTTAGAAGAGTATTAAATAAATCAGAGGCCCTCAGCGGTTAGTTTTTAATAGGATAAAATTAGTTTAATAATTAAAAAAAAAATAAAAAAAAATATCACTATTCGTGTTCGACTCGTGTTTTAGAGGCTCAGCTCGTGCTTGGCTCCTTAAAAAATATCACTATTCGTGTTTGATTCGTTTGCATTTCGAACACAAAAAAAATAGTTCAGTTCAGTTTGTTTGCCTTGCGAGGTAGACAGAAGCTGTTTGCGAACAAAAAACCATTTTGACAACCCTAGTCATGCATGCAGCAGCTAGGGGTGTAAAAAAGCCGAGCTTGAGCGAGTCCAGACTCGGTTGGTTAAAAAATATCATTGCATGTTCGGCTCGTTTATACATCGAATTCAAAAAATTTGTTTGTGCTTTGCTCGCTTGCTTATCGAGCAAACAACAAGCTATTCATGAATAATGAGCTATTTTGACAATCTTAATCATACAGCCGTAGAATGTTAATGAATCATGTTATTTATGTTAAATTATTCATTTAAATAGAATTTATTATATTTTTATTATACTTTTAATTAATAATTTTAATCGATTATAAATCTTTTTTACGTGTAGTGTATTAAATTACTTAAAATAATACTCATTATATATATATTTCTAATCAAAACGAGTCGAACATGAATGAACAAAATATTGTTTGTGTTTAGCTTGTTTATAAATCAAGCGTAAAGGAAAAATACTTGTGTTCGGCTCTTTTGCTTAGCGACAAATCAAAGGAACTAATTAACGAACCGAACACACGAGCTGTTCACGAATAACAAACTATTTTGACGATCCTTGTTACTGCACGCGGAATACACGAGGGCCATAGTTCAAAACATGATCCTGATGTCTGATTAATAAATATCGAAGTTCTTATCTCATATAAAAAAATAAAATTCAGATGTTAAATATGAATGTAGGTATATTCCCCAAATATTAAATGCTTTTTATGCGAGTTTTTAGTTAAAACGCATGATAAGCGCTTGTTTTTTTATCCTTTTGTTTTAACCGAATTTAATCGCAAATAGGCTGATTTCCCCTTCAGGTGAAGCTCTGTCTGCGGCCCCCGTCCCTGTGCATTCGTGGTTGGGGCAAGCTACGTCTGGTACATGGCGGCGACGGGAGGAGCGTCGTCTACCTCGCCGCTATTGGCCGGCCCGCCGGTGATGCGCCGGCGGAGGACCGCCGGCGGGGCAACGCCCGCACAGACGCTCGGCAACATCGTGGTGTCAATTGTGGGAACGGGAGTGCTCGGCCTCCCCTACGCCTTCCGCGTGGCCGGATGGCTTGCTGGATCACTCGGCGTCGCTATCGCCGGCGCCTCTACCTACTTCTGCATGCTCCTACTGGTCGGTAACTTCTTCATGTTTCGCTCCTTCATTCTGTCTTTTCTGATAGATTCGATGAGAACTTGTTAGAGCCGTATGGTTTTCCATGTGTGTCATGATGATTTGTTCTGATGGGTGCTGGAGTTAAAAGATGTGGAGAATGGGTTCTGAATTTGATGGCTCGATGTGCTGTGATTTTCTAACAAACATCCAGAGGTGGTTTGTATTTCATAGAATTTGTGTGTTGATTTTACTGGTCCGTAATTTCTCCTTTGCTCGACCCTACCCAATTCTCTGTTTTGTTCGTCTTGGAAATCCCCTCTTTGTCGATCCATTAATTTGTGCATTGTTCGCAAACAATAACAATTAATTACTTAATTCTCAATTAGTCCTTTATCAATGCTTAACTTATTTATTTAATCTTTATGCGTCAAAGACTATTTTCTTTGGCTTATTACTTTCTTCTTACTGATTAATTAATACATGCAATCTGCCCTACTACTCAATTTGTTCATAATTAATTAACTAATCCTGTGGTGAGTACTGAATGAGCCCATTTTATTATATAATTCTTAATTAGTGCTTATATAATACATCTAAGGTTTTGTTGAATCCAAATCTATTCGGTAGACCGTCCCTAAAGAATAGAGCGTTGGACCGAAGAAAGAAGATTGAGAGAGGAAGCGAAAGGGAGAGAGAAAAGGGAAAAAGGAGAGGAAGACTTCCCTCGACAGGGGGAAATGGCGTGTTCCAGGCTCGTGGACGCATTTTATTCCATAAAACCTATCATTACAAGTGAGGGGAGCCCAAAAATCTCTCATAAACCATAAAACCCTCGTATTTGTAGAAAATAGGAAGGGGAAAAAAATATAAAAATTACATATTTAGCTTTGCTTTAAAAAGAAGAGCAAAGGACATTTTAGTCCCTTTATTTTAGACTGTCAGATTGTCTCGAGATCCGTGTAAATCAATTTTGAGTATAAATATTAATTTTCCCAATTTTCTTGTTTATTGATAGCAACAACTGCGATAATGAAAAAAAAAATTATAAATCAAACAAATCTTGGAAACATAATTTGCTAATGGTACTCCTTGTTAGGCGTTATTCGTGCTCAATTCTGGTATCTTTGTCGTCATCTGTTGGATGTGTTATTTAGTTTTTTCTTGTCGGGGGAGGTTGTTGGGTTCTAATGGTTGGTCAGAGGAGAAGTCGGACGTCGGAGGAAAAATTTCTCCGTCGGGGTGAAAAGTCCTCCACTTGGAGGAAAAACCTTTCGTTTCGGAGAAAAGTCATCCGCTTGGAGGAAAAGTTCTCCGTATGGGGGAAAAGTCTTTCACTTGATGAAAAGCTTGTTGTCAGAGAAAAATCAGAGTGGCTCTCTAGCGCCGTCCGCTTCAAAGTGGAATCTTAGAGCTCGACACTGTTCGCGGAGCTTGTCGCTGTCGGGTGTTAGATTGTTGTACATTTCTCGCGGAGCTTGTCTCTGCCGGGTGTTAGATTGTTGTACATTTCTCGCGGAGTTTGTCGCTGCCAGGTGTTAGATTTATTTTTACACTCCTCGTAAAACTTGTTGTTGTCAGATGTTAGATTTTTTTTAAGCTTCTCGCGGATCTTGCCGCTGCTGGGCATTAGATTTTTTTACACCCCTCACGGTGTTTGTCGCTGCCGGGGGTTATTTTTTTACACCCCTCGTGGAGCTTGTTGCTGTCGGGCGTTAGATATTTTTCTACACTCTTCGTGGAGCGTGCGCTGCTGGATGTTAGATTTTCTTACACTCCTCGTTGAACTTGTCATTTTTGGGTGTTAGATGTTTCTTACACCCCCGACGGAGCTTGTCGCTGATGAGTTTTGATTTTTTTGCACCCCTTATGGAGCTTGTCGCTGTCGGGTGTTAGATTTACTTACACCCTTCGCAGAGCTTGTTGTTGTCTGGTCTTATATGTTTTTACACCCCTCGCGGAGCTTGTCGCTGTCGGGTTTTAGATTTTTTTGCACTCATCGCGAAATTTGTTGTTGCCGGGTGTTAGATTTTTTTTCACCCCTCACAGAGTTTGTCGTTGTCGGGTGTTAAATTTTTTTACATCCCTCGAGAGACTTATCGCTGCAGGTGTTAGTTTTGTTTACACTCCTTGCGGAGCTTGTCGCTATCGAGTGTTAATATAAATAGTTGAGAATTGTATGATACGAATGTTAATCTCACTAAAATTGTAAAAGGTTTGGATGCTGGAATTAAGAGATTGACAGAGAAAGACACACCAGATGCAGCTTTGATTTATAATGATTTCTCAAAAATGAATCTTAGAGAAAATAAAAGGATCAACATAAATCCTTCTAGTATGCGTAAGGAAAAAGAGATGAGTATGTCCTCCCGCACATTGGTAAAGACAACTACAAAATCGATAAAATAAAAATTGAAATAAAGTTCCCCAACTAAGACTAATTGATGCGCTGTATGCATGAATTTTTTGGGCCCGTCAAGTCTTAACTTTAAGGACCGTAGGGCGAATCTTTTGTGGGCTTATGCTTCTTCCAAATGATAGAGGATAAGCTTCTAGATATATATAACAAAAATAGCTTTAAATTTATAATGCAAACAATGCTTATTGTATTTGTTTAAAACACTGGATATAAAAAGTTCTATCTGGGATCTCTTATAGTATATTCATTTATATATTCCACTGTATAAAGATACATATGTTTATATATTTGAAATAAGAAATAAGCAATAAGTGGTGTGTATGTAAATCTTCTTTCTTTATTTTATTTTATTTTAATTTTGATTTGGTCAGCCAATTGGATTGTCGGCTGGGGCAGAGATGTCTGGTCGGCCTAGTGTTCTGACTCGCAAATAGAGATTAGATAAAAACAAAAAGATTGGGTGATCTATAAGAATTGGTGGTATTGTATGTAATTTTTTTTTCTATTTTGAGATGGTAGACTTCCTCCCTTGTTTTGGGCAGGAGCAGAGTGGCTGATCGGTGAAGCGTCTGACCTGATTTGAAATGACCGGAGATAGGATGTTGGTTGGAAACCGGTGGTCGGTGAGAGGCGACTGGAACAGTGGGCTGTCGAACGATAGATTGTCGGTTTGAGGGTGATTTGCTGGAGGCATTCATAAAAATGTAGTATGTACAAAAACATATAAATATGTAAGAATTGAGTGTGGTATATATATAAATCTTCTTTGTTTCTGAGGCGGTCGACCAACGGGTGGCCATCTGGAGTAGAGATGCGCGTTCGGTAATGTGGCTAGAGAAGTGCGGTGGTCTATCGTAAAGCGTTGATCGACGAATTAGCCTGGATTTAACCTGGAATTTACCAGACAATCATGCTTGGACAACCTAAAGCCCCATTTTTGTAAATCAAGTATGGGTGCTTCATGCCAACAAAGATGTTTGAAGTTACCTTCCTCCATTGTTTCAGGTAAGAGTAAAACGACCAGTTGAAAATAGGAAACCAGCCAGAGATAGGTTGCTGGGATTAAACGGAAGTCGACAGGAAATGGTTGCCGGTCGGAAGTATTGGTACCATCATCTTCGACACCAACTTTGACACCACTATCTCAGTTTTGAATGTTGCCAAAGTACTTGACTTGCCCATCGTAATCGGAGAAGTGGGGTGGCCTACTGATGGAGACATAAAGACCAATATTAACTATGCGGGAGACATAACCGAGGGCTTCAGATGAGGTGAAGGAGAAAGAGGATGGGAGTTTCGGTGATCCCTCGGGAGGTTGATTAGGCGAGGTTGTCGGGCAGAGGAGGTGTGAGAAGTCATGAGTGTGAAGTTAGGGAAGAGGGGGGGGGGGGGGGGGGGGGGAGCCCGAAATGTCTCTCATACACCATAAAACTCTTTTTATTTATAGAAGATGGAAAGGGAAAAAAATATAAAAATTACTTATTTAGCATTTCTTTAAAGAAAAGAGCAAATGACATTCTAGTTACTTTATCTTGGACCGCCATATTATCTCGAGATCCGTGCAAATCATTTTTGAGTATACAGGCTTTCTTATTATTAAAGTGGTCCTAAACTATTGTTCTCAAAGAGTTTTTAAAGAGCTCCTTATATCACTTACTCCTTTAATTCGTGCCAGGTTAGTTTATGGACAACTAATGAACCCTCTGAATGGTCAATCCCTTGATTAGTTTCTAAAAAACTACCTTGATTATTGTTTAGTTTATATCTTAACTGCCCTGCTACATAAAAGCCTTCAGCGCCAATTAAAGGATACTTGATAGAATAGATGGAACAAGAAAATTTGAACTGAATGTTAACTTATAATCCCCAAAATGTGTTGTGGAGCAAAAGTTGATTGAACATCTATGAATAAAGAACAATTTTGATGCCGGTCGTTAATAACAAGGTGTTCTAAGTTTAGAGTTTCTTTCCCTGTAAGGTGTTTAAGCTACCACATCAACATCAGGCCATGAGTCTTTCCAAGGATGCTTTTTATTTATGTTTCCGTCCCTTAGAAAGAGCTACTAAATTGTCAGGTCAACGGTATTCTCAAAATATAATCCAAAACTCCATTTTTCTAATCCTAGTACGGATTGAGTTATTTGAGGTCAAACAGTTTTAATTGTGAATATAATTTGGCAACCAAGCAATTTTTTGGATTAAAACAAGCGAGATATTCGTAGTAGATATGCTGGTTTACATCACTCTTGTTTATGTAATTCTACGTAAGTTAAACTGTTGGCACCCATTATTACTCCATGTTGATTGAAGTATTTTTAGCCCATCTTTAGGTGTCAAACTCACAAATTTGCAAATTTAGTGCATTCAATAAATGAATGCGCCTATAGAGAATGGAGGATTAAAATTGTAGCTCTAAATTCAAAATGGAAATTGGATGTACATTTTCCTTAATTTCTTGAAGTGAATACATATCTCACAACATAGGCCTAAGCACTTCTAAGGTCAAAGTTACTTGATTTGTTTGGATGCATAAACTTTGTTACATTTTGGATATGATGGAATAAAACACATGAAAGAGAAATGTTCTGTTTATAAAGCTTTCAGCTTGTGTTGTTTAAAATAGCTAATCTTGCATTTTTAGTTATCTTTAATGTATCGAAACCAAACACATAAGAAAATGTGATGTTCACCATCATGCAGGAATTGCATAATATTTATTTTTTTCATCCCGAAACTAAGAAAGTTGCAGCTTGTAGATTTCCTACTTTCTGCTAATAAAAAAATAATGCATTTTTCTTGTTTTTACAGATCCAATGCAGATATGGGTTAGAAGCACATGATGATGAAGAGACTGGTGATGCGACCCATATCCAAAGTTATGGTGATCTAGGCGCAAAGGCCTTTGGAACAACCGGCCGATACTTCACTGAGTTCCTTGTACTTATCGCACAAGCGGGGGGGTCTACGGCCTATCTAGTCTTCATCGGCCAGAACCTCTCCTCTTTGTTCACCAATACCAGTCATTCTACAATACCACCTTCCGCTTTCATTTTCTTGCTTGTTCTCCCCCTCGAGCTCCTCCTGTCATTTATTCGTTCTCTTTCTTCTCTTGCCCCATTTAGTGCATTTGCAGATGCTTGCAATGTCCTTGCCATGGCTATTGTTATCAAAGGGGACTTACAACTTTTTGACAGATTTTCTTTGGAAAGGGGTGCTTTTAATGGGATATGGGGGTTACCTTTTGCTGGGGGTGTGGCTGTCTTCTGTTTTGAGGGCTTCAGCATGACGTTGGCACTTGAGGCTTCAATGACTGATAGAAGAAAATTTCGGTGGGTGCTTCTTTTGGCATTTATTGCTATAACAATGGTATATATTAGCTTTGGGATTTTTGGATATTTAGCCTATGGTGATGAGACTAAGGATATTATTACACTTAACCTCCCCAATGATTGGTCTGCTATTGCTGTTAAGGTGCGTTTAAATTTCTGGGAACTTTTCCTGTCTATTTCTTGAAGTCATCTTTATTGCTTAAGATGTTGATCTTGTGCCTATCATTGATAACTTGACAATATTCATACAACTCTACTTTGGAATAACTGAGCGAAGCAGAAAAATCTGCCTGTCCTATTTATCAATCGTCAGTGCAGAGTTTGGAGCAAAGGACTGAATGTTTTCAGTTTTATTTTCATGTAGCAATTATAGATGAATTTATTGTCAATGTCCTTATCCATTTTTATTAGGCTGGCTTATGGATACTTTCTTCTTTCATAATGAAGGCTGTATGAAATGTTACTCCTATTTTGAGCAGTTTAATTTTTGCATTTTTCCTGTCCATGTTATTTCTTTCCTAGCATTTTTATCCTTATTACTTTTTAATCAGTAGTCTTATTCAGCTTTTGCTTGATGAAGAACCTATCAATCTCCACATGTTTGGTTCTATCATGTTGCACTGAGTTCTTGGTGATGTTGATTGTTGATTTGTTGTCGCACCGCAACTTCATTTGAGCTCCGTAGTCCAACTTGAGCTCTACCAACAAGTCTCTCATCTACATCATCTCAGCAACTCCTAAAGCTATGATTCTATACTCTGCCTCTAATGTTGACCTCACTATTATTGACCGTTTCTTGCTCTACCAAGAGACCAAGTTACCACCTACGAACATGTAGTATCCAGATGTGGACCTCCTGTCATCCATACAACTCGCCCAATCAGAGTCACAATAATCCTCAATGCTTATATGTTTATTCTTCCTGAAGATCAATCCCTTCCCAGGTGCACTTTTCAGGTACCTCAGAACCTGATACAATGCATCTATGTGACCCTTCCTCGGATCATGCATGTAGTGAATCACCACACTTACTGCAAATGATATGTTGGGACGAGTGTGACTCATATAGATGATATGACCTACCAACCTCTGCCACCTCTCGCGATCAACAAACTCTTTTACCTCTGCGTTCAACTTTCTCTTCCTCTGTTCCGATCAATTGGTGAAACTGCAGGCTTGCATCCTAACATTTCTGTCTCTGTGAATAAGTCTAGCACATACTTTCTCTGAGATAGAACAATCCCCTCTGCTCCACAAGCCACCTTAATCCCGAGGAAGTATTTAAGTTGTCCCAGATCCTTAACGTCAAACTCTTTGCCCAAACTTGTCTTCAGCTGAGCAATCTCTTTCTCATCATCCCCAGTGACAATCATATCATAAACATACGCAACAAGAATAGTAATGTGACCACCATGTCGTCGAAATAACACCGTGTGGTCGGCATTGATCTGCTGATAGCCCACGTTTACCATTATTTTCTTGAACCTATCAAACCAAGCTCAAAGAGATTGTTTTAAACCGTATATTGACTCTCAATCTACATACCTTGCCTACTATTTGGTTTGTGTCGAAGCCTGAGGATATCTCTATGTATAACTTCTCTGGCAGATCCCTATGAAGAAATACATTTTTCATATCCAGTAGATGTAACCACCATTCACAGCTAGAGAGACGGGTGTCCTGACTGTGCTCATCTTTGTCACTGGTGCAAATGTCTCATCATAGTCCATGTCATACGTCTGATTATACCCTTTTGCCACCAATCATGCTTTGTAGCGATCAATCTTTTCTTCTGAGATCAGCTTCACTATTAAGACCCATTTACATTCGACTGCATTTTTCACCGTTGGTAGCAACACGAGCTCACATGTCCTGCTCTTATCGAGAGCACTAAGTTCCTCCAGCATTGCAACCTTTCACTTTGGATCCTCCTTAGCTATCTGCCAATACTTGGGTATAGAGACAGTGTCCAAAGACGCAATGAATGCTCCATTTAAATGTGATATGTTAAAGTATAAGACAAGCTGGGCAATGTCATGTGCGAAACCAAAACGATTAAGAGAATAACCATCATGAGGATGTCCCGTATTACTGCGAGAGGTCCTCCTTAAAGTCATGGGAGTGGGAGGAGAAGAGAGAGAGGAATCGCATCACCTGTATAATCGAATTTCGAGGTGAATGGTGTAGGTGTTTTAGGAGTCGGGATAGACCGGGACTAGGTATTTGTTCGAACAACAGGCACTGTTCTTTCATTCTGTTTTTTTCTTCTTGTATACACTCTCAGCTCCCTTTGAGCTTAAGTCTCACAGTCTTCTGGCTTATTTTCCTTATTTCTTGGCTCTTCCTCAGTCGATCCTTCCCACACAATGGGACAAGACATTGTTCTCACCTTTACCAATCTCTCACCATCACTACTCTCCTATTCTCGCCTCATATCTTCAACATCTGACGAGTCACTAAAGGGTGAGATCACTTTCAAGGTATAGTATGATTCAAGTTCTCTAAAGGTCATATCCATACTCATAAATTGTCTTTGCTCTATTGAGCTCCAACAAACATATCCCTTCAGAGTGGCAGAATAACTCACGAAAATATACTTCACAGCTCTTGGATCTAGCTTTCCTATTGATAGTCTATTGTCCTTCACAAAACTTACACAATCAAATACCTTCAATGAGAGGATCCTGCTATTATCTACTTTCAACAATTCACAAAGAAATTGTCACTCTAACACCTATGAGGGCATTCTGTTGATCAATTGAGCGGCTGTCAAAATAGGTTGGGCCTACAAGTGCTTTGAGACATTCATCGAGATCATCATACTTTTGGTTACCATTAGGAGATGTCTATTCATTCTCTTTGCTACTCCATTTTGTGCCGATGTGTATAGATAAGTGGTTTGATATTTTATATTGGACTGATAAATACTCCCCAAACGTCTTGTTGATACACTCCGTCTCATTGTCAGACCTCAATACCTTCACTACTGCTCTGTATTGAGGCTGAATCCTCTTGTGAAAATTTTTAAAGCATGCAAGCACTTCATTTTGATTTATCACCAGATATAACCAAGTAATAAGAGAAAACAATCAAAGAAAGCCACAAATATCTGTAACCATTCATCGAAGTTATAGAACAAATTCTCCATACATTTGAGTGCACTAAATCAAAAACACAAAAACTCATATTATCAAAACTAATATTAGAGTTCCTGGTGTGCTTACTAAACTCACAAGCATCACACTCAAATTTCTATTTATTTTTCTTTTCATATAAAGACGGATACAAATGACTCAATAGAATGAATGAAGAGTGTCCCAAGCACTTGTGATGTAGCAACAACACTTCCTCTGCACTTCTCCCAAATCCTCCTACTTAAGCTCTCTCCAGCATAAATGTCAAGGCTGAGTCCATCCATTCTCTATCCAAGTACCAAAGTCCATTATGCCACAAGCGAGTCTCTAGTCTCCGGCCAGTCCCCTTCTCTTGAAAGATCACCTTAGGAATATCAAATAAAACAATGCATTTTAGTTGAAGTATAATGACACTAATGTATAAAAGGTTTATTAAAAAGGAAAGATCATGTAAAACATTGGACATAGTCATAGAATTAATATACCTCATTGTACACTTACCAACCACAGACTGTGTTGTGTCATTAATGGTTTGAATGTCTCTTTGGAACTGTTAGGTGAGTATATGAAGAGAACTAACTAGCTGCACTTTTCACATGTCGAGATGTACCAGAATCTACTTTCCATTATGGTGATCTTGTGATGGATATAGAGAGAAGAGCATGTGTATCACAAGTAGCTTTAGCTGAGTAAGCATAAGTAGCTGTGTTTCTCTTGGATGACGATAAGGTGGATGCATTCTCAATCAAATCACCTGCAGTGCTCTGCTTCTTCTTCAACATCTCTAGGAGCTCGTGATCCTTATCGGTAAAGACCACTCCTGTCTCTCCCTTGTTCTCCACTACCATCAGATTCGTCTAGTGCCCCACTTTTCTATCTTTTTGGCCGTCATGATTATGACCATAACCTCTAGATTGTTCACATCCATCCGTATTTCTCTCATTGGGTAGCTTTGGACAAGCCTTGCTCAAGTGTCCCACTTCTCCACAGTTGCAACACTTGCAAGTCTCCCCATAGGCACCTGTCACACTTGAGCTCGAAGCAGCCAAAGCTGATCGTGTACTTAGAAGTCCACTTAGCTCAGAGTGTAGTCTCATGCAACTCTCCTCCTATATCATTGTGGCAATGACCTCATCGAGTAAAGGAACCATTGCTTGGGTCAGATGAACCAAAAACTACATAGTCCTTATTTGTGCAAAGATCTTACCATTCTTTCACCTCAGATCACCACAACTCGACATAGGTGAGAAATGATCAAGATCTTTCCACAGCTGCTGCAGCTCTATGGATTATTCCTGAATCGATCTATCACTTTATATCATTGCCTCTATGTCACGTTGAATCTGGAACACCCTCATGTGTTCTCAAACCCAACATAGGTCCTCTTCAGTTTTGTCCAAATGTCCTTCAGCTTTTGAACGCTATCTACAGATGAGGCAATGGACAAAACCATCGAGTTGACTAGCCATATATAAGCAAGGTGTGTGTAATCCTCGACTCAATCCTCTCAACACTGTCACTCTTTGGCTCTTCCTCTGTCAGATATCCCTCTAGTCTCTTCCCTACTAGAGCAACCTCGATCTAACGTGACTAACTCAGATATGTGGCCGGTCCATCAAGCTTCAGATTCACAAGAGGGAGATCTAGCTTCGCCTACGTCGGAGTACATGTTGAGATGGTGGCTCCTGTCGAGACGCTAGCTCCGTGTATGAGCTAGACCAAGAATTTCAGAACTTCAGGATCTATCTTCCCCAAAAGCTTCAATCCTTCACCTCCCACACCATCTCCCTCTCGTATCATCCTCAATCACAAGGTTGAGCTAGCATTCCGCCGTTCTATCCGAAGCTCTACGAGCTAAACCTTCGCCTTTTTTGCCTCACTGCAAATCAGCCCGCCAAAGCATTCAGGCTTGTTTGTTTCCCAGCTTCACTTCTTCTTATGTCGCGAGCTCGAACTGCAAGTGACGATCACTCCACAACTTCACTTGCCCGATCTTTGTCATTTCCGT